CCTCCGGGGCAGGCGGGAATCGAACTCATGAGGAGTTGGCTTAAGCTTCTTAGTGCTGTGCTTTAACCCACTGCGCCACCAGGGAGGGCCTGAGTTGGGTGATTTTAAGGTAGGGAACTGATGAGGACTGTTCAGAGTTTGTGAGATATAAGCTTTGATGTGGATATAGCAGAGTAGGGTCTTGAAGCCAGTAATGAGCAAACTCTGAGTCTCAATAAGCTAGTTTAGTTGGTGCTCTTGTGGCCTTATCTTTTGGAAGCAACTATTTCCTGAATTAAGTAATTGGATTATTTTTCTTAGTCTCAGAATTGTTAGCACCGGAACAAGAATGCATGTTGGTTTGAGTTCTCAGGAGTAACGTGCTGAGACAGGTGTTTGAGAAAGTCTTTCTGACAGCAGTAAGAAGGGCAGATAAAATAGGAAGGCTGGGGTCCAATTAAGCAGCCACTGTAGAGTGGGGAGATAGTAAAGGAGACCCCAACTAGAAGTTACCAGTGTATTTATATGCTTCCTGAAGGTCAAAGAATTTGAGGATGATTTCGATTATTTTAGCTAATAATTTACACGTAATTCAGATAGTCCACAAAATGTTAATTTTCAAATGTCACACAAGAAGGTTTTTCAGTTTAATAATAATAATAATAATAATAATAATGATAATCTGTCCTTAATGAAGATTTACTCTTGTATACTATATTGAGCACTGCATGTGAACTACATCACTTAATTCTTGAAACTTTGTGGGGTTATTTTCTTCATTCCATTTTTATTACAAAACAAGGACTTGAGGAATTCAAGTAACTTCCCAAAAGACATGCCTCTAAAGGACGATAGAGATGGATTTGAGTCCAGGAAATCTATGTTCAGAAGTGCTTGTAACTGCCATGCTTCTGTGCCTTTTATCAACTAACATATTGTCTAGAGATATTTGCTATTGTGTCTTCGGCTGGTAGTAATCTCAGAGAGGAGTCAGCAAACTTCAGCTGTAGTGGGCCACGTAGTAAAACTACTTGTCTTGAGCACTGTAGTAAGAAATCAGTCACAGACATAAGTACTGAAGTGAGTATGGTGTTGTGTCAGTAAAACTTTATTGACAAAACAGACAGCCAACTGGATTTCTTTCACAGGCTATAACTTGTTCTCTCCTGATCTAAGAAAATGATGGTCCCCTCATTATATCACAGTGTTTGAATTTATAATTACTGATTTTATTTATACTTACAGAATATTAAAATAACTTGGAATGACTGGCTTACCTATTACCTTCAGAACATTTCTAATGAGTTGGAATAGCTCCTGCTTTTCTAATTATAAGCCAGGTGGTTTTCTTGTCAGTTCAGTTTTGGAAAACTGCTCTTGAAGTTCTTGTGTATGACTGTCATGCATTGAGGAGGATGCAGAAAACAGGAAATGTGTTTCTTGTCCATGTGCATATATTTCAGTTGAGTAGACTATCTACAAGCATATACATTTCACTTTTACCATTTTTGTTATAAGAATAAAGGGAAGGTGGTTTCAGGAACAGTCACAGGATTCAAAGGAGAGGAAATAATTTAGGCTTTAACCTTGAAGAAGAAAGACTTCCTGAAAGATATGCGTCGGAATATGTCTGTGAAGGTGGTTAAAGCATTTATAGTTAAAGGACAGCAAGTGAATGGGACATTTCCTGTTAGAGGCACCAGGATGGGATGCAAAAGACAGTCCAACTGAACCTAAGCATTAGTGTAAGAGAAGGTTGTGAGCTCATAATGGAAAGGTAGAATGAGATTAAATTATTAAGGGTCTTCCATTCTAGCCCCAGGAATGTGGGATTTTAGTGTAGAGAAGTGCTTCTCTACCAGGGGTGATTTTGCCACCTGGGTACATTTGACAATGTCCGGAGAGAATTTTGATTAGGGGAGGGGAGGGTCCACCCTGTGAAGCTGCGGGAAGCCTCTGACTAAATCTTTGCAAAGAGGAGAATGGACAAATCAACGCACAAACTGTAAAGACTAATTCAGTGGTGTGATGTGTGATGAATCAGAAGGTAAACGTAGAAGTAAAGAATCTTCACTGGCTTGTTCTCTCCAGAAACATTTGAGGACCTACTATGTTACCAGACCTAGCAGGTGATTTTAAAGATGAATACATGACAGTCATTGCCTCTGAAAGCTCATAGTCCACTAGACCAGGCTGGCAATTCATATGGTGAACACAGTCAGAGACCAGCGAGACCCTACCCAGACACCCGCGCAGTGCCTGCTGCACACTACTTGCATGCAAATAAACATCAGTTAAATACCCCCCCCCTCCCGTAACTCACAACTCACAACTACTGGAGTCTCCGCAGGAATGGAATGGTCTCCAATCCATAGCTCACAACAAGCCTTCTCAGAGCTTTGTTCTCTTACCTACATTTCTAGTTTTATGACTTCTTGGGCCAGTCCGGAGACTCGGGGTCCCTCCCTCTACTTGTCTAGAGCTTCTCTCCCCCTCAAGCTGCTCAAGTTGCAGCGTTATACCATTTCCCCATCTCTGCATTCTTGGTTCTTTGTTTTTCTACATTACATCTTTATTTTCTTCCTTTGTTGTGTAAACAGTCTACTAGACTGTGTCTTGTGCTTCCATGTATTTTCCTGTTTCTTTCCATTTTCTTAAGCAGTAGAAGAGACGCAGAAGTCCAGCAGGCACTAGGGAATCTTGCACAGGGAATGACTGGAAAGAAAAGTTAGTGAACACTTCTACGCTGGTAATTTTAATCCACGACTCAAAGTTACACTCTTTGTTTCCTTTCCCAAGTGTTCAGATCCTGGTAATGAGCTAATGAGATAAGCAGGCATTCTTTATTTTTCCTTAATGATGATTTTATTTATGCATTTGCTTTAAATTACCTTAAGTTGCTTTTAAATGTCATATTTTGATGTCATCTGTTCTTTGACACCATTATTGTCAATAATATTGAAAATAGTTGCTAAAATGCTTCCATCAAAAAGAACTTCACAAAATCTTTTGAAGAAGCTTTTCCTTTCCCCCTCTCTTTTCCTCCTTGGTGATTACATTTTCCTTCTCTTCAAAGAGCATCCTTAAATCCCTGATGCTCGCAGTGGTAAGTTGAGGTGACAGAACCTTAATTTATTATATGAGTCTGTCAATATGCTGCTCCAGAGTTTGTGCTAAGGCTTTGGGGCTTAGTGCAATTCAGAATTTCTTTATGGAAACCAGTGAGTTAAAAAATGAAGTGAATCCCAGTGGGAACTAGGATGAAACATCAAAACCCCTGAAGTCCTGGGTACCTGTGAAGGAATGTTGCCATAAAGACAGAAAAACAAAGAAAAAATTCATTATTTTATGGATTCCCCCTGAAGTCCTGGGTATCTGTGAAGGAATGTTGCCATAAAGACAGAAAAACAAACAAAAATTCATTGTTTTATGGATTCCCCCCTGCCACCATAGTTCACAGTTTTTTTCTTCATCGTTAACTAGCTGGAATTCAGCACCTAATTTTTATTCAATCATCAACTAGTATAATCACTTTGCAATTACCAACGTTTTAACTTTGCAATGTCTCTTTAAAGTCGGAAAGCCAGATCATTGCCCTTTCTCCCTTTTTTCTAGATAAGTAATAACACAGAGCACAAAATAAAACCAAGCATTACAGTAGGTATTTTAGAAACATAAGCCTGGTGGAATGTCTTAGGAAGAAATTGTGCATGCTGGAAATAATGAAGTGGACGGTATTTGGTGAGGGCCTTGAAGGAAGAGAATTTCAACCAACGAAGCAATGGGGGTGGACATGGGGTGGGAGAGGCTCAAAGCAAAGGCACAATATAAACAGAGGGGCACAGACATGGTGAGGAGACTAGGGACCTGGACTTGTCTTCAGCAGTTGGAGGCCAAGTAACTTGGGTGGTGGTGGGCAGTGTGGCAGGTGGGGGGAGGTGAAGGTTTTGGAGCAAGAGTGGGGCCAGACTGCAGTGTAATGGGGACCACAAAGGGACTAGAGAGATGGGCTAGGCAGCCAGTGTGAAAGTGAGCTTCCTATTAGGAGGCCCATGCTGGGAAGGGTACATTGAGACTAGGAAGGAGGCCAGGGATGTCTGTATGTTTGGAAGCTTCCAGAAGGTAGATGGTGAGGATGGTGCAATGGTTGGAGGCCAATTGGTGCAGTTGATGGGCAGATACGAACAGAGCAGGGCTGCTGGGGAAGTATGGTTGCCCTTTGTGCTGAGGAGAGCCAGAGGCTCTGGCCTTCGAGCAGGTATGGAGCACCCACGGGGACATGGCCTGGCTCCATTGTCCTCTCATATAGCCAGGAGCTTGGAGGGAACTGTGCGCCTGAGAGCAGCAGGGCACAGTCTTCATCATGTAAGCTGAGGGACCAAGTGAGAGATGGAGTCTTATGGAGAAACTGATGCTGTCAGCAGGAAAACCTGTTTGTCAAATCTTGATAGGCAAGTGAATGGGGTGCTCTCAGTGGAGGCCGAAGCTGGGGAGCAGGACCAGGCTCTGGAACTGCATGGACCTACCTCTTACGCACATGGATGTGCTTTGGTCAGTACTGTGAAAGTCCAGGGTTAGGGGAAAGTGGATTGATGGGGAAGTTGTCTCTAAAGCAAGGAGAAAGACTTTCCTTAGCCAGTGACCAAGATTTCTCTATGACTCATGCCATTTTTGTGAATCTGGGAGGAAGGAGCAATGGGGTTGGGGCTCTCTGGGCTCTGCACACAGAGCTTGCTGTAACTCACCCTCCTCGATTGGAAGGGGTAAACACTTGTCATAAGTAGTCATCATCATTCTTTTCAAGTGGAGTAAGCGAAAGTAGTATTTTGCAAGGATTATTGAGAGTATAGTCATTTTGGGCTATAGCTGTGAATTTCTATAAAAGTGATTTTCTAAATGGGTTGTCTGGGGCTGATTTGCAAATATATTAAGGTCCTGGCGCTGTGTGGAAGTTATGAAATTTATGAAAAGAGCCCCAGCACTTTTTCTTTCCTCTTCGAGATGCTCATAACCCCTGAGAAGCCACAAAAGATTCAAATTACTGAATGCTGCAAAAATTAAATCCACCCACCACAAAATGAAAACTCACATTTACGGTTCTGCTAAATCATTTTCTTGTCTCCCCCTCTCTCTCTTTTTATAGACAAAACTCTGACTACTGTAGAAAAAAAAGTCATGATTCATGATCAAAAGCGGAATAATGGAGACGAAATAAGCAAGGCAAGACAGAGGTGGAAACAGAAGGAAATCATTTGCTGAGACTGCAGAGTGGAACACGGCTTCTGTCCTTTCTTGGGATGGCCCAGACGTGACAAGCAGGGCCGTCTGTTGTGCCCAGTACTTGATGAGGGAGGTGCTGACCTCCCTTGCTCTGTGGATCAGCACGTTCGTGTACCAATGAAAGTAGCTCGTAGTCTGAGACAGCCAGGTCAGCTCAGCAGCAGGCGCATGGATAGGCCTGAGTTCCAGAAAGGGAACCGATTCTGGTGCTTTGAGTGTGTCCAAGTCCATGCAAGTGGAAGAAAGTTCTAGTGCACATTTCCCATGCTTCCAAGTCTAGGCATTGTGGTGAATATTCAGGAATCATTCATGAGACAGAATGTATTTTGTTGTAGGACAGAAGGGTGTTTTTCTAAGCAAACTGCGGTAAGCATAGTGTTGAATATGTTGCATGTCCACGTTAGAAAACAGAGTCCCGCTGTCAGCTAATACAGATTCCCCAGAGCAGCATCTGTGTGAAGCTTCTGTCTGATAGTGTGGCTGTCCGCAGGGTGCTGGTGACGCCCGCCACTGTATTGTCCTTGTTAACTCACGTATCCTTATGGTGTAACTCAGGAACAGATCTCAGGATGAGGAGAATGACAAATGTGAATAAAGCGTTTTCTCGTGCTCACACTTCTTTTGAGGGGTCCTGAGAAGTGAGGAGGATTCCTTTTGTGAGGATCGTCAACCTGGATGCAAAGAGATTGCTACTCATCCTCACTGTATATTAACATGGATCTTGGCACAGAATCCTTGACTATCATTTACACGCAGGCCAGTGGCCCGCAGGCTTTTTTATAATGTTTTTGGGGAGGAAGTGTGGGAATAATGGGATTTCTGTGAAGCTGTGGTGCTTCTGGAGAGGGAACATCAGCATGTTAATCCTCATTGAGCAGCATTGTAGTAAATGGAATCATTTGAATCAGAGGTCTCCAGTGCCACTATTGGGATGCGGTCCAGAATAGCATTCTGTTCTGTCTGAAAGATTTAATTTTGTGTTCTCTGTATCTTAAATATGTGCCTGGCAAATTTGGTTCTCCTACCCCCCACCCAAAGTGGTAGACATTAAAGGCAGGGTCGGAAACAAAAAGGTCCCATTATGAGTAGTATTTTTTCTAAAAATGGTACTATGTAAGCTGATTGAGCTAGGGAGACAGAAAGATCAGAAAAGAAGAGTACCCTTAAGTGGAAAAAATGAATTCAAAGCTTCATTTGCTATAAGAGAACCAAAAGAGAATATTATTTTTCCTACAACGAATGTGACTGTTCTTACACAGGATAATGTGGCATTCCGATACGGACTGTGGATTTCTTCCAACTTTCACTGACGTTGCTTCTCACCAGACACAGGGAGGGGTCAACCTTCCTGAAGGTTCTATCAGTCAAAGTGTGTACAAATTCCTGAACCGTGGATTTGCTAACGTGATGTATATACTTATAGTAATAATTTAAATGATTCATGATTGTCAGATAAATGTTGTTAAATTTGAAAATGTTTTATTACATTACATCAAATAAAGATTATTTGTAGCTGTAATAAAGCAAACGAAGCAATGATTTTTAATTGAATATCTGATGTCATAACTGTTGCTATCTCTTGCATGGCAGAAGAACAAACTATATATTTGCTAAAGTCCTAAGGCTGTTCTGCAAGTTGCTGCATTATAATGTTGAGGATTCATCCATTTTGCAACTTTTGAAAAAAAGATTTAAGATTTATTTATTTATGCATACTAGAACAGAGGTATAGGCCAGAGATGGGGGTGAGAGGCTTCACCAGAGACAGAGTGGGGAGCAGAACAGGCTGACTGACAAAGTACACTGCTGAGGGGAGCAGTGGGTGGGTCAGGAGAGGTCTTCTGCGCTTTGTGGGTCAGCTCCCTAGCTAGGATCGGCTCATGCTGCACTGGCTGCAGATAGTTTCATAGTACTACGCTTTAACCCTCTGTGCCACCATGGAGGGCCCAACTTATTTTTTTTTAAGAATGATCTTTCAGGGGCCCTCCCTGGTGGCACAACAGGTTAGGACACAGCATTGCAAACTGCATGCAGCCGCTTCAGTGAAGAGCTTGATCCCTGCCTGGGAGGTGACCCACATGGCGCGGCAGACCTCTCCTGACCCGCCCGCTGCTCCCCTCAGCACTGTACTTCGTCGATCTGCCTGTTCTGCTCCCCACTCTGTCTCTGGGGAATCCTCTTACTGCCCTTGCACGTCTGGCTTGTACTCCAGTTCTGTATCATAGATAAATAAATCTTTAAAAAAAAGAATGCTCTTTCATTTGATGATTTGATTAATGATTGTTTATTGGACTCTGTGTTCAGCACTGTGGGCATAGGGACAATGGAGATCAGTGAAGTCCAGTCCTTTTGAGGACTTTGTCATTGGCTAGAAGACAGGCATTTCCCAGATAGTTATAATATACTAAGTGCTTTAGTCATTTGCAGGGAGTGACATGTTTCTTTCCTGTTATTATAAAACAAAGCATTTGGTTAATTGGATTGATTCAGGTTTTCAAATGTGTTTGTGTAATGGTTTTATCAGCACCTTAGTTATTCCAATTGCCTCTTTATTCCACCTGACTTGAATCCCTAATTGGAACACTGTTTCTCTCTGGCTACTGTGCTATCTATTTATGTGCTTTTTTGGTTATAAATCAGTTATTTTCTTTTTTCCTTTTTTAAAAAACCTTTTTAGTTAAAGATTTATTTACTCATGCATATAGAACGGGGGGTACAGGTCGAGATGCAGGGGCAGTGAGAGGATTCACCAGAGACAGAGTGGGGAGCAGAACAGGCAGATTGACGAAGTACACTGCTGAGGGGAGCAGCGGGCTGGTCATGAGAGGTCTGCCGTGCCATGTGGTCACCTCCGGGGCAGGCAGGGATCGAACTCATGCGGAAGTAGCTTTAGCCTCTTAGTGCTGTGCTTTAACCCAGTGTGCCACCAGGGAGGGTCACTAAAACACTTTTTAAAAAATTGAAGTAACATTGGTTTACTGCACTGGGCATGATTAGGGGAATAGGTTCAACCTCTTCAATATAAGCACCTGTTTTACATATAGACAAAAGAAAGGAAGGGGTGGAAAGTGAGAATAAGCAAAATATCACTATTTCACATATGATATAATTTGTGCTGATGCTGTAGCTTATGTTTTAACTGAGAATTGGGAGATTACTAAAGTAAGCATTTTACATATATGTTAGGTATGTTCAGGAAGAATGATTATTATAACTAGTCTCTGCATGTACTCGTAAGGCCTCATGAGCTGGCATCATTTGGTAAGGCTGAGTGTTGGGAAATGACGATTTGGAAATAAAGTTCTTGTGAGACGTAATTTAATGATTGTCACCTTAAGGTTTAGTTTTGTTTTGTAAATATAAACAAGAGGCATCCACAGGGTTTCTAGGTTTTCTGGAAAGCTGGTCATAATTCTTGAAGCATTTACCATGGTGTCAGATGCTTGAAATACTTGTATCTGTTTTTTGCTAATCATATTGTCATGCCATTTTATTAGATTTACAGCAGGCATGAGATTAAGGATATGAGAGATTAGGCAATTTTTCAAATAGGTTTTGCTAATAATTGTATTTCTAGCTACAGATGGTAGGAATTTTTCTTTCAGCATTTTAATTGTCAACTGAGTCCCAATTTAGTAGATACAAATGTTTATAAACCTGCATTTATAAAAATCAGTCCATGGACCTTCCCATGTCAGGACTTCACTGGTTTTCCTCTTACCTGGAATGTTCTTCCTGTTACCAATTGTTTGTTTACTGCATGTCTTCATCATTGCTCAGTAATTCTTCAAGGCAGGGGACCAATATCCTTACTACCTAGTGCCAGGCTGGGGACATACCTCGCAGGTGGATTCTACTTATTTCTTTACAGGAGGGGAGGGAAGAAAGCAGGTCAGAGCTGACTGGGCCTTCTTTTACATCTGCAGATGAGGAATTGAAGACTTGGTGTGATCACATGGCAATTGCAGTGAGTCTGGGGGAAGGAAGAGGAGAAACTGTATGAGCTTCCCATGTGCATCTTGGGGCAGGCCTCCGGGGCAGGGTCCTGCTGCTTTAGCATGAGTTTCTCATATCAAGAGAGCGACCTTTTCTTAATTTTCTGCACTAGTGGAGCAGAACTGTGTATGTGTTATGGCCCATATGTTGAAACTTGTTTATCTACAGCTAGCCAGATGGTTCCTAACAAAACATGAAGAAACCATTTGGGAACTTTCAGAGGGTCAGCTCATTGTGAAAGCTCTGAAGAGAAATACATATTATAATGGGATTCCTCCCTTGCTCTAGGGCAGAAGTATGAACAAAGGAAGATCTTGTTAGATATTATTTGTGAAACACACACACCTGGAGAATCAATTGGGGAATTGAGGTCTTAGAGACAGAAGTTTATTCAATTAGATCTTTATACTTGCTCTGTCAACACTTCTCTGGAGAAGGAAAGTAATTTCTTAAAACATGTTGCTTTTTAAATTCCTGCTGGCTAAATAAAAATGAAAACTAAATCAAACAAACAAACCTGCTTGTGCATTACAGTCAACAAGAGGTGATGCGATCATCAATAAAAAGGAAAAACAAAATTCGCTGCAGCTAATCAGGACCAGAAAGGTTTGATGACTATCAGATATAGACTTGGGAACAGTTCTGTTGAGTTTTGGCATTTAAAAACAGCTGAGTCGGAGGAACGAAAACATCTTGTAACTGGCTCCCTGAAAATAAGCACAGGAGACCTTTGATTCTATTCAAATTATAAAATTTGTGCCCAGAGATTGTGGAATAAAAGGAAGGAGGTGGACAAGAAATATTTAAGAAACTATAAAGAAATGAAGGTTGTGACTCTTCCTTTAAGAGAGTCATTCATTCACTCAAGTAAACATTCTTTAGTAAGTCATAGGCTGGAACCTAGAGATGAATAAGAGAGAAAGGGCCTCCATTTTTGTGAAGTTCAGAGTCTAGCAAGGAAAGGGAACAAAAGATTATAAAACAGGAGGTTCAGAAAGACATGCTTCAATGTATCGATGTAATGCTTAAATCTTGGTGGAGGAGAGACGCGGTGATCCAAAAAAAGCAGGTGGTAAGAAATATCTAGAATTTATCTTTGATGTATATTATATTTTTGGTGACAGATCACCTCTCTTAATTTCATCTTGATTGGGTTAATTATTAAAATGCTCTTCATTCTTCTAGCCCCCACTGTCTCAGCGAGGGAGTGATGGATCAAGAGTTACCATATGAGGCGATGGAAAGTTAGCTGTAAATATAAAAGTGTGTCAGGGACAATTGAGTAGCGAAAAATCTACCTGTAAGAAAACAGGGAATTACAGAGTTTGAGAATCTCAAGGATTATCTAGTACAAACAGCTCCTCACTGTTTGCAGGAGAGAACTAAATTGGAGCCCTGTTTCATTTGTTTAAAGGAATGTGGTATAGAGCAGTGCATTGCCAGTTATCTTTGGTGAAGAAAGGCTTTACTCTTTCATAGAGCTTTGCATTTGAACATTAATTAAAAGAAAAATGAAGTGGATAAAAACAAAATATAAGTACAACTTTTTTGCTTACTAGTATCAATTAACATTAAATACATTTCAATAACTATGGTGATAACAAAGACTGTAGGTAGAAAACAGTCAGACCCCACTATTTTCCAGTAAATGTTTCCCATGTATAGTTACACAACTAGGGAAAACCTAGCAGTTGACCTGAGAAATGACAGTGGCTTAATTCCTTCCTGTGCAGAAGACTGCATGTGTAAGGAGGTGGGGGCAGCAATGTGGGGCCTGCTTGCCTCTGAGAGCACCTGGAGGGGTGAGGAATGGCGCAGAGCTGCTACCTGCAGTCCCCGAGTCGCAGCCTATGTGTACGTCACAATCCCCTTGGCATTGTGACTCAGCCTACCTGGATTCCAGAAGTTGAGAATTGATGTTTCCCTACATATTGGAAAACTGAGCCATCAAGCTGATTTTGTAAGCTATTAGGGTGAAAAACTTGTTTAATATGAAACTAGATATGGTTCTATAATCATGTCATTAATAGACATTTTTACAAACTCTTAAATTCCCTTTAATGCTGACTGCTTGCTACAGGTATTAAAACTTCTGCAAGCTTGTGGACCTAAACAACTCACAGATGGCCTTAGATGGTTTCAAATATGTATTAGACACAAATGAATGCTTAAGTTTTAGTGTAGAACTCATCATTATTGAGTAACTCCTGGCGTTAACTAGTGTTGGCACAGTGTCAGCTGAGAATCGCTGACATTTCTGTCCCCATGGCTAAGGAGCTGATCAGATACTTGTCAACAAAACAGAGGTCAGAATATGTTGATTATTTGTAAAAATATGTGTTGATTATTAGCCACTGAGAATGAGATGTTCACCTTGGCCAAGGCCCAGAAATGCAGCTCAGTGG